ATATATATATATATATATATATATATATATATATATACACCAAATAAATTAAGAAATACGAAATTGATTTGGGTAGAGTAGGTTTGACAGAGGTTTCTCGTGTCTGTTGTCCAAATGGCACCATGATGAATCTGCACGTAATGAATAACTTCTTTATTTTCATTTTTTTCTTTCAAAAAAAAAAAGAAAGAATAACTTCTTTATTTATTTTTTCTATTGGGAAATGAAAATCTTTGCGTGTAAGTGCATGGGTTGTTTAGTTGACCAACGACTTTTTTTTTCTTTTTTTACGTGTATGTATTAGGTTCAACTGATTTAACTAATTCACCAAAGAAATAAAATAACAAATAAATTAAACAAATAATCTTTGCATATGCTTAACGTGGTAGGTATCAGGCTGATACCTACCACATTAAGCATATGCAAAGATTACTATCAGGTATAGCTGTGAACGAGCTGAGCTCGTCTCTTTTAGCTGGCTCGAGCTCGAGCTTGAGTCTATTTTATCGAGTTCGAGCCTGAGCTCGTCGAGTTCCTTTTTTTTTTGGGCTCGAGCTTGAGCTCGTGTCATTTTGTCGAGTTCGAGTTCGAGCTCGAGCCCAAGCTCATTTTTTTTTTTTTTAATATTTTTTTAATTTTAATTTTATTATTATTAATAATTATTTAAAAAAAATACAAAATAAAAACTAAATTGTAATTATATATATTTTTAATATTTTTTTATTTATTTCTATAATATTTTATATTATTATACATTATTTAAATAAAATTAACATATAAAAAATTAAAAAAAATAAAAAAAAATAAAAAAATAATAATAAATAACGCTCGCGAGCTCATGAACAACTAAAAGCCGGCTCGAGCTCGGCTCGCCAGAAAGCTCGAGCTCGAAAAACTCGAGTCCGAGTTCGAGCTTTTTACGAGCCGACTCGTCGAGCTCACAAGTCGGCTCGGCTCGTTTACCACCCCTAGTGGTAGGTGGTGTTTGCAAAAGCTTATTCAATAAACAGAAGTTACTGATTTGTGAGTTTGTGAGTATTAAGTTTGTAATTGTGAGTTAAGGGACAATTTTACCCCTGCCCACTCTTACAAATTAAGTTTCCGGTGACATTTTCAGAAAATTGCACTAGGGTGCACTTTGCCAAGAAAATATAAATTGAAGAGTGCTTTATGCTATTATTTTAATTTAAGGGTGCATGGTGGTGCCAATGAGGTGTAATTTAAGGATTCAAAATGTCAATTACCCCTTAAGTGAATATTAATTGCTTATTTCTAAAAATTGGGGATCCTTGCAAATATTCTGGAAAATAAAAATAAATGAAAAAAGAAGGTCTAGGTGCTTTTAAAGAAGGGTGCAAATTTAGACCGGATGGTCTGTTTTAATAAGAAAATCGGATGCCATAGGATGATTGACACGTGGATAATTTAAATTAAAATATAATTAGTATTCTAATAATTGAAAAAAAAATAAAGGAAAAAAGAAAACCCCAGCAGAACCCGTAACCCCTCTAACCCTAATTATAATAGCGTGATTTATTAAGAGTTAAACTTAAAAGTGCCACATGTCAAAAAATTAGTGGAATCCGATTTATATTAAATATCGGCTCATCCGTTCAGAGTTCAATCTCTTTAAAGAAATAACTTAAACTAGCTTATTTTAATAGAAGAAAAACAAAAGTTTATTTTGCAAACACTTAAAATAGATTATGAGCAAAAAATAGTTCAAAAGTTGTTTTTAAAAGGTTTTACAAACACCACGTTAGTTGGGGTGCAAAAGTCGCAACAACATTTTTAAATTTCACAGATTACAATCCATAGGTTTCCGACTTTGAAACAAATATTTTCATTCTTATATCCGATATATTGATTTTCAATCATTCATTTTTTTTAGATTAGAATTTGAATTATATATCCCCTGTTCTCTTTAAGTTTCGTTTAAGGCAGATGCATACTAATTAAGAAAATGGCAAATTTCACTTCACCCCCTCAAAAATACTTTTTTGCACTTACCCTCCTAAAAATATAAAAACGAGATTGTCCCCCTTTGTAATATACAACTCGGTGCACTTTGTCCCAAATGTGTATTTCCGGTCTAATTCTTGCCGGATTAAGGGTATACATGTCATTATACTTTTTCCGCTTTTAAAATCCCCTTTTCATAGTTACTTAAGGTTCTTAAATTAACAAAAAAATCTTCCCGAATCGATGACATTCTCGTGCACACTAGACAAAATTCTCTTCCAAGTTCGACAAAATTTGTTCTTAGTTCTTCGTAATCACGGTAATATAGGGTGGAAAAAGGTCAAATTACGTTTAATTTATAGCCTTAAAGGATGAAATCACCCTTCCAACTTACTCAAATCATAGACTGAAAATACACATTTGGGGCAATGTGCACCGAGTTGTATATTTCAAAGGGGGATAATCTTGTTTTTACATTTTGAAGGGGCAAAGTGCAAAAATGACATTTTTTAGGGGGTGAAGTGCAATTTTCCCATAAATAGTCTTGATTTGTAGGTAAAAAAAAATTTATTAGACCAAATTATCCCTTTATGAATTTTCATCTTCTCTTTCTCATTTCGTTTATGGATAATTTGCATCTGCCTCCCCTGAACTAAGGTTTTTGACAACCACACCCTAAACATGTATTATCTTGGCGCACACATCCTCTTCACTATAACAAAAAACATATATTAGGACACTTTTTTTAGGGCAATTTTTTTATAAATGTCCCAAAATTAAGTTGTTAGGGCACTACTTATATTGTACCTGTTAATAATATTTATTAGGACATTTTTAATTAATTAATAACTTATATTATTTGAAAACACTTAAAAATGTTGAGATTCTACTTTTTGATAAAGTAGGGCACACAGTTATATTATAGGGTAAATAGCACTTCGCCCCCTAAAAAAAATGTCATTTTAGCACTTTCCCCCCTAAAAATATGAAAAAGAGACATTGCCCCTTCAAAATACACAACTTGTTGCACTTTGCCCCAAAAGTGTAATTCCGATAATTTTTTTGTCGGATTTGGGTAATCTAAAAGGGTAATTTCGTCACTTTAGGCTCTCTATTTCTCCCCCAAATTGAATCAACCAAATCAAAGTTCTTATTTTCTCCCCAAATCTGAAATTGGATATGGAGTCAAGGATTCAAATCGTTGAAGGCCTTATGGATTCGGGCTTCATTTCAGAAGAAATTTGTCCTTAAAATCCCTAGACGTGGTCATTGTTGGTATTGGAAAGTTCCGTCGGTGGAACCTCACGAGCCACATACTGGCTTCGGAAATGGAACGCTCCGGTAGTGTACGACACGCGCGTGAATGGGAGATCGAATGCAGAGACAAAGTGAACGGGAGAGAAAGTCACAGGTGAATCCTGCACTATTCGATCGCCCCATAATCTATAAAATGAGCAGGTGCATAAGATCGTGTAATTATGCGAAGATGAGGATGAAAAAGAGTACACCTGAGTTGGCAAATGGATAACAAAAAAAAAACAATTCCACTACTACTCAATATTATTTCCCTAATTCAAGAGAAGAGAGTAAGTGACAGATGAAACAAAGTGCTTAATGTGTGTGTAATTATGTATGTGTGTGTATGTGTGGATCCTTCTGTGGGGGACGAATGAAAAAGTTAATTTTGGAAATTGGAGAAGAAATATAGGGGTTTTTTTTGTGGGTGTGGTGAATGAATTAGTGAGTATTGGAAGATCCACCATTGAAGGCATTTCTCAAAGTTCTACTCTGCTTTACTCAATTTTTCTTGTCCACGTGAGAGAATCAAATTCTCTTGTACCTGATTTGATGAAATTTTCCTTCCAAAATACTCAATTCTGCCGGAAATAAACATTTATGGCAAACTGCAACAACTTGTATATTTTGAAGGGGCAGTGTCTCTTTTTCATATTTTTAGGGCGGAAAGTGCTAAAATGACATTTTTTTTAGGGGGCGAAGTGCTATTTGTCCTATATTATATCCCATTAATAATATGTATTAGGACATTTTTAATTAATTACTAACTTATATTATTTGGTAACACTTAAAAAGGCTGAGATTTTACTTTCTGGAACTTTATCGCACATTTTTTTTGTTTTCTTCTTGTTCTCTGACTCTTCAATTCTTCAGTATCTCCTTTTCTTTCGAAAATTTTCTCTTTGTATATAAGACCATCTCCAATGAAGATGGGTGTGGGTTGATTATGGGGTGGTAAAACCACCTCCAATGAAGGTGGATCAAGGGGGTGCGAATCTGGGTGGGTAGGGGTGGAGGCACACGTGCTGGAAGGGAGGTGTGATCACTCGCCCCTTTTTTTTTTTTTTCTTTTTCTTTTTATATTCTTTTTTCTTCTCTTTTACATGTCAATTTTTATATTTATTTTTTCCTTTTCTTTTCTATTTATTTTTTATATTATATCATTATTTTATTTGATTTGATTTATATAGTTACATAATTTAATATCTCGTAATTTCAATAAAATCAAACCCTTAATTTTTAAATAAAGACTTTTAATATTTTTTTCTATTTCTTTTTCTTTTATTTTTTTTATTTTCTTTTGAATTAT